GCCGCGCACCCGGGTCCTGCCGCATCGCGCTCTGGCAGCGCTCCTGTCCCGTGTGCCCCCCTTACTTGTTGCCATTGTCATCTCTAATATCACGCGGAGATATGAAAGGCTGAAAGTCGCCTCTTTTCCTGCCAGGTTAAATTGTTCACCAGGAATGTCTATTATTCCCACAAGTCAACTTTCCCCTTCGCGGTATGTGTCCAGGGGTCAGGCCTGGCACTACATGAAAGTGAAGGGTATTCAATAACCTAGAGCCGTGGAAAGGCTTTAGTCCAACTCCAACCATGTTCAGGGTTTTATTGATGCAGCATGCCTTTCCCCATTTGTTTTCTATAAACACCACATGGTAATATTTAGTAGGTTTCAAGCAGAGCTTTTTGCATATTCGCCCTTGTCTACAATGAGCTGCTCGGTAGTAGACAGTTTTAATTTACTTAATGCAATTTTTGCTTTTTCTTCTTCCAGAGGGTCTGGGCTGGTTTTGACCCAGTCGCCCCAGCAGATTACTGCACAGCTCCGTAATTCCCGGGGGGCTGGTAGTGGGAGCCCAGGACCCGCCGGGGTGAGCGTGTTCCCTGGCTCACTGGAGAAAGGAAAAGGAGCTGGTGCAAGCTTGCCATTGCAGAATTACCCCCTTTTAGCTGCGACGTCAGTAAGGACACGGGGCCTCCCGCCCCCCCAGACCCTCCGGGACACGGTGCCCGGGGGCAGCCTCAGGAGCTGGGAGCGTGCCGGGGCCATTTGGGGCCGTTCTGGCTGGCGAAGCCGGGCAGGCGACACGTGACGCTCGCCAGCTCCAGCGAAGAGAAAAAGCCACTTTATTGCAAAAGCTGCCGCTTTCCCGTCCTCAGGGCTGGCAGTGGCTGGGGCATAGCCCTGGGGGTGCTCAGTGCCCAGGGCCGAGCGAGGCTGCAGGGTGCCCCCCCAGGGCAGGGGGGACGCCACTACGGATGGCTGCAAACAGCACGTCTCTGCTCTCTGTGCAGCGGCCCGCCTTGGGCTGCTGGTAGCGAGTCCCTGCTAATGTACACACACGGGTATTCACCGGGCAGAAAAAGGCCAGTCCTCAAACAAGCAAACATTGACTGTCTGGTTTCCCAGCGCTGCCCATCAGCCCCCGAGTCCTACCCCCAGCCACAATCCCTCCGTGCGCTGAATATTGGGCAGGTTTCCTTCAGGCAGCAGCTTTCACAGGCACTGGCAGCCAGACATTCTTGGTGCGGCACTGCCGTCACCCTGCCAGCCCCGCTCAGCCGCTGCTCCACACCAGCACCCGTGTCACCAAAAAAACCCCCGAGGAAACCAAAGAGATGACACCAGGATCCTTTTAATGCAATTATTTCTAAAATGCAGCCTTAAAATGACTTATAATGGTAAACAATGAGAAACGACGGATCTTCTTCCTCTCTGCAACGTGACGGTGCAGCACCTCTGCCTCCAAAACCCACCAGTAACCGCTGTTCCTCAAGGTCATTCTCCAACTGCTTTTACAGCAACTCACTGCCCCTTCACAGGACACACACGTCACATGGGGCATCCAAACCCTCCCACCAAAGGGACTCATTTGGGCAAAAAAGGGACAGAGTGAGCCACCCAGCATCCAAATGACCCAACACTCATCCGGAGAACCTAAATGAACAGCAGCACAAGCAGCAGCTTTCTCTCTCTCACCTTACAACTCAGGCATAAACCTACAGAGGTATTTGTATTTGAGCCACCAGCTCCTGTGGAAGTGAGTAAGAGCCATCAACTTTAAGCTCCTAATTATCTCTGTGGATCTGTGCCTTCATGCTATGTAAAGTGATTTGAGAACTGAACATCTGACTGCATTTTCTGGCTGAACAGGATGGCAGAGGAAGTTCATTTTCCAATATCTTGCTTTTTGAGATATAACGCTACTTTGTGTATTTATTTTACAGAACAGCAGGTGCTACAGACTGCCAAAGCTTGCCAATTTAAGTAATACAGGAAATTCTGTTGTAGCCTAAACATCTGTGAGAATATACCCTGTGCAGTGTTTAAACACTGTAACAGGAGAACAGACTCTGCTTACTGAAACGCATTTAATACCTGCTAGGCGTTAGTCTGAGTTTTGTTTTTCATTCTGTGGACTTGCCACGCGGCCCCTGGGCTGTACACACTGTAGAACACCGATGGAATTTTAGCCACTTTTCCCCTTTCTCCATTTAAAAGATCCGCTGCTGCTCCATTGCAATTTAACGGTCCTCCCCTTCCAAAAGGGGAGCCCTAAGTCTGCCAGAGAGGAGAAACTGCGGAAAGGCCCCAGCCACACAGACCTCCTGAATCTGCCGATGCTGTGTGATGCCACTGCTCTCCGACAAAAGGAGCCTCCCCGAGCGGGTGCCAGCACTCAAGCGGCTCTCCCAAATCACCCCTTTGTATCAAGCTTGCATTTTACTAGTAACTTCAGAATCAAATGCAGGAAGCCAGTTTGGTCTACAGAAATACTTATCTCTGAATGAATTTTAAACACTTCTTTTTAAGGACAGCATTTAACAATAAATCAGTGGGCTCTCAGAGCTTGGTCTCCAATTCTAGTAATAGAACATGGATTCAGGTTTGAACAGACTGGAGCTCTTCTAGAGTTTGAGCAGTAGTTCTCACAGAACCAAACGTCACAATTAGAAACTGAGCGTAGAAACAGTCCCCAGGGGAATACGAAAAAGACATCACCTTATGAAAAAGCTTCAGAATGAACCTATGAAATAAACAGCAACCAGACAATCGTCTTCTACAGAAGATGGAAGTTAACGGTAGAAGAATATAACAACATCTTAGATAGTCAGTGAGTCAGTCTGAATGTACAGGGGCACTAGATCCCTACAGATCTGTGATGAAAGCTAATGGCCAAAACCAGCTGGTCCCCTCCAGTCCCAAAGGGAGACTGGGTTGCGAATCACTCTTCACCAGCTGGAAGATTGTCTTCAATCCGCCTGATGAACTTCATTCTTATTTCTGTGACGCTGTCACCCTTCAGTGTGTCCTGGACAAATTTTACATCTACGGCCATCTGAACCTAGGTGATGGGAGAGGAAAGAGGAGCTGTTATGTCCCTGATAATAGCAGCTTCTCTAGGAACTGCCTGATCGTGAAGCACCAGCTAAAGGACACTGAGGGCATGACATGCAATGCAGAGCTCTAGGAAAGCTCACTATTTTTCAGGATCACATCCTCCTTGTACATTGTGGCCTACACAGTGGACAGCAGGCACCTTACGCCAGCAAACGCACCTCCTACAGTGTAACCAGGACTCCCTGCAGAGATCAGAGCCCAATTAACCGTATCACTCAGGGCTACATGTCCTACTGCTCCATGTGTGTTCCTCAAACATTTCAGCTCAGCAGGATAAGCCTAAATACAGGCTCCTAAATTTGAGACTCAGCTGTTCTCTTGTTCCAGCAAATTTCCAACTAGGGCTCAAGGCAGTTACAAAGGGAGGATTTTGAAGCTTCGTAAAAATTCAAGGTGATACTAGTGCTTGTATTTGGGTCATAAGATGAAGGGGCTTGGGCAGCACCTCTGGGACTCACAGCTGCCATACACAAGGGCAGCTGAGCACTCCGGTAGCTCTGCTCTTTCTCCTGGGAATGAATTTCAGGTCCAAACCAAACACAGAAGTCAAACACAGACTAGACATTAAAGTATCTGCTGATACCTTGGTTATTCACGTATCTATCTCACTGGAAAAGAGATGTTGGCTCACCATTTCCAGAGCACCTCGCAGCACTCCACACAACAGGTTGGAATAGATGAGAGATGAGTGGTTGTCTGGGAGCTCAACGAAGTCCACCAAGGGGTTATTTTCCAAGATCAGGGAGAACTCATCGCCTCCAGGACTCCAGTTGGTGATGCTCGGAGTGATGCCCAGGTACATTTTAAATGCTATCTGTTATGTCAAACAGTGTGAACAAGAATGCATCCCATGAAGCAACAGCCCAGCTTTGATGCTTGTAAAATTACTAAAGGGTTTTGAAAACACCACTCCATTCTCCCAACTCCCATTAGTCAGCAGTAGTCAGGGATCTAATTCTCTCTTTTTCCTTCCCAAAATCTCAGTCAAACTCTCAGAACAGTCCTGTGAGTAGCAAATACTCTATCTTCACATGTAAAACCGTGGCAAAACCTGACAAAGCTGTGCTTTGTCAGTTACCTTTGCAATAACATCTGCAGTTTCACGGAAATCGTGGCATCTTCCGACATTGGACCGGGCCAGGAAGTCTTCTATTAGCCGAACACCTATGTTGTAACCCCTGTGAATGTATGAAAGAGCAACAGCTACAGAGTGGGAAGAGCGCACCTTTAGAAAGACAGCCAACATTTATAAAAGAATATAGTAGAGGAAAAAAAATTACATCTGAGAAATATCAGTATTAAATAAAAGTCAGTCTACCAGGCTTTTATTCTTAGCGCAGCACACAAAGATGTGCCATACTATGAACCCAAGCTCCTGCAAGGCTCCACTGCAGCAGACCTGCTTACATTTTGTCAAGCTGCTTGTTGACGTCCTCATCACTCTCATAGTCCTTGCACAGCTGGGTGACCAGAGCGCCGTATGTCAGCGTGAAGAGCTCCGAGTTCTAGACAGAGGCAAAAGGGATTTATCACAAGCCAAAGAGAAAACTGACTGAGCACTGCTGCATCTGTGTCCAGCGCTGCTTCCGTTGGCCCAGAGAGGGGGAACAGAAACCTGCTGTCTCAAAGGAATTTGCTGCTTAATAAGGAGAGAACCCAGTTCATATTTTGGCAAGGCAACTTCAGTCTCCTTGGAAAGAGAAATCCTCTTTGACTAGGAATGACTGAGCGCTTTCTTTCTCTCCCTCTCTCCACACAAACAGCACTTCCCCTTAATGTGTCCTGAATCTGACCTGAAGAGGCAAGCCAGGAGGCTGCTCAGGCCCTGTAGCCATTCTTAGCAACTCCTGTCAGCTGCCAATTAGCATTTGTCTCTGCTTTAACGAGCACATCCCCAGATAACTGGAATGACACCTCCAGGTCATTTCGTGTGCTACTGACCATCTCCTGGATGGATAAACTTGCAGTTGCCAGGGACCTGAATTTATTTCAACCACTGACCAGGAGGTAAAAACGTTCACAGATCTATTACATTCTGCAACCAAGAAAAAACAAGACTCATCTGGTCCCTAGAAAGTTATCTAGGCACATAATTTGCTTCATACATTAAAATGAGCTCCTCAGACCCAGAAGAGGAACTGCAAAGGACAGTTTCAGGTCAGCTCAGCAGATCTGTGTTGCGCACATCTGCTTTCTGTGCCTGGCTAGGATCAAAGTTACTTGGGCTTTCTTTGCACAGCTGCCAGATTTGCAGAAAACACCAAGGGAAGAGGTGTCCTCTCCCAGCCACCACCATCACTGATCCTCAACCTGAAGCAACTATGTCAGAATGCATTTTCTTGGGAGCCATTAAGCCAGACCAGAGATTACACAGTCATTAACAGCTGCAAAACAAAAAGCTACACCAGGCTTTAGCTTTTTGCAGAACCTGAAGGAAGTGTTTTCAGGAATAAATAAACCATCATAATTCATTTCTGCATTCAGAAACATTACAGAGAGTCTAATCTCAGATTAAAAGCCTGTCACCTACCATGAGATGCATAGATGCAGAAGGTGAAATGAATGGCAAATACCAATACTACAGAATGAAAGCAGCAGGCAGGCAGAAAGGAAGGGAAAAGAGACAACATCAGAGTTAAGTGACACTGCTGATCACACTTCATTCTGAACAAGTTTACACAAAGCCAAGACAAACACAAGGAGGAATCACTCCCAAACGGTAACATTCAACAAGTAGAAACCGGGTTAGAAGACACAGGGAATTCCACCTTGTCATTGTAATTCAGGAGGTCAGCAGCAATTAGTTACCAAAAGGCATGTGAAAAGAACCAGTCAGGCTCCTTGGTACTTTTGCCCAATTTTAGACCTAAAGAACTGACACATTCTTTGGTTTTTTTACTTACAATTCTGCTTTCATCTTGGAAAGATAAAGGCTACACAAGTTCAGGTCACTCAAGAGCAAACAAGGCGGAAGTCTCCTTCAGCTCAACTGGCAGAGTCAGACATTTGGCAGAGAATTTAACAAACATGCAAAAAAGGTTATGCTATTTTTAAGGATTTCAGTAACTTTAGTAAAGACAGGGCTTGGCAGCTGGAGAGAGTAGGGGGTGAGTGAATGGAGGAAATCCAGCTGTTACCAGTCCAAGATGCTGTCATTTACTGTGTAAAGCCATGAAGCCGTTCACCTACTGTTATCAGCCCCAAAGTGTGCAAACCCAGTGCTGGGCATAGTTATTGCCTGTGACGCTGCTGTTCAGGTAACTTAAAACTCTTATAACAAGGCAAACTTCCAAATTCGTATTTGTAAAGGAACTCCTCATTTTCAGTCCATCTAATAGAATGAAGTGCCTAATACTTTTTCCATTATTTATATTTTTTCATATTGCAGACTAGTGTATAGTCTCACCCTATATAACCGTTCTGTGGCTATAAAAGTGTCAGAATCTTACTGAGGTAACACCAATTCCTTAAATAAAAATCGTTGTATTTAAGGAGTTGAATCCCCAGAAGAGAATCCCTCGTGGTGTGGAGGAGGCAGAAGCGGGCAGCTGCCTGGCCTCTGCTGAGCCTGAACCAGCATTAACATGGCCAAAAGAGGAAGAAAAAACAGATTTTCTTTTTTATTACTTGCTTTCAAATACTGACATTGCATCAAAAATGAATTAATTCGATTTGGTCTGACCCAGAGTCAGGCCGCAGCTCTGTAGTTTTGTTCTCCATCCCTCATTTCTCAGTTCAGCTGGACTGATAACACGGAATTGGGTTAAAGAGCAGAGAAGAGGGACGCGAGAAAAGCGTTTGCGTCCTGACTGTAAAGTTCCTGTGACCAGAAGCGTCCTGCTCCTCCCTGATCCCTGCTCCCGACTCACGGCAGTCGGCTCTGCGGCTCCGCAGCACCGGGCGCTCCCTGCCCTGCAGGTGACAGGAGCTCCCGTTCGAACGGCCGCGGGTACCGGCCCCTTCAGGCCCGGCCCTCCCAAGGACTGTGGCGCGCTCCAAAGCTCC